TATTTGAAAGACAATAATACCAGTGCGTAACTTTTTGTGGAATCCTCACAAACATGAACTTTAGTGGGTATTTTTATCGTCACCCATATAAGTGAAAAGAAAAGAACGAAGGAATTGCGTTAACCGAATCAGCTTTTCCACCATTCCAGCTAAAAATATGCCGAACTCGATTTTTTGGTAAGCATTCCTCACAGAACACCTTGATGCAGTGCATCGGCAATGAACGTGTTGTGCTCAATCGCTCTGTCGAGTTCATTTCTGTGCCTCCATCCACTAAATGACACATTCATCAAAATCGTGTTTAATGATCACAAAATAATAGTGTTCAATGTATCTTTATGGGAATGGTAGCACACAACTGCATATAACGTCGTCGCTTCTGACTGATTATAATCACAGCTCAACGCCAAGATTTCAATTTACATCTGAAATTTTGCGGCTCATTTGAGCTGCCAGCAAGCCCTGCATTTCGCCATGACACTCATCAATCAGCACCATACGTATGCACCAATCATCTATTTCGCTTGTTTTGTTCTTTTGGCGATTTGTATCAGGTTTTCCACCATCCCAGTCAAATAGATCCCAAATGGTGAACCGGGCCTCATGCGAAACATCATATAACAACACACCGCTCTTGCTTCGAACATCTCTACCAGCAGATTGTCGATTAAACTTCGGATACTGTGAGACAAGATAGCAATTTTCGAAATCCGTACTGTCTGCACTTGAACGTGTATGAGTGTAATGCTGAAATGACAAAAGTGAATGTATGCTGAGGAATAGTGATACGGTAATTGTTCGGATAATTATTTAATGTTGAAGCAGTGGATTGGTGAACTTAATTTATGGTGAGCGATACAACGATTCTCTTCATGCGTCAACATGAAAGTGGCAAATTCGGTGATATTTTCGATATGCGTTTAGACTTGGATCTGAAAGGTGAATAGAAGTAAACCGCAAATGGAAGATCGAACGAACTCGGCCGCTTTTCAGTGATCGATGATTACTGATTGGTTGAGTCATCCTTGTTTTATGATCTGAAACGAGCATCAATAGCAGTTTGGCTGATTTGAGCGCATTCTCAGATGAAATGCTGTGGAAAATGACTACAGCAACTGAATGGATCGGAAGGTCTTACAGCGTTTTGCTGCACTGGCGTTGTCTCTGTTTGGTCGTGAAGCTGCCTTCCTGAAACGATTCGAGTCCTCAGAAACTGCTAAAAGCACTGCTGTTGTTGTCAGCAATACTAACCGATGTTAAACGGACGTGATTTGCGCCTATAGCAAGTCATCAAAACTTCTGACAAGTTTTTTATCAGTACGATGGCAATTTTTACCCAGCAATTTATTCAGTCCCTATTTATAACTAATTTGTTATTGTTTGCTACATAATCGCACAGAAATATTGCTCATTCAAAATTTGTAACTTGAAATTCGCTCACCTTTCAGCTCTATTAATAATATCGTCACGTGGTGATTCATCCCGTCTACACTCTGGCTGAAAATAAATATCATTTCAAAACAATGTTGCGATTTGGCATCGTATTTTGAGTTAATGATTGCCTACGGAGTCACGATGCTTTGTCAGATGCAGTGGTCAGGTCAGTACATTTATTGTATGCAAAAGAATCAAACAATTTGAAGGCAGCACCTGCATTAATTTCATAATACTACTGCATGCGCTCTATCACTCCATCAGATTACTTTAATAAATCCGTTTTTCAGAAGCGCAAATCATTTTGACAACTGATCACTGCACTGACCCTAGGAATATGAAGGTTTGTTCAAGCGTAAATTTGCAATTTAAACAAAACGCTCTCAAAGGTTTCATCGCAACTAACACTAGCGACAGTCTCAGGCACCGATATTGCGGCAGTTTCTTCTTGAGATTGCTCGCAATTTCTTCGATTCCTTCGTCTTCTGATACTTTTGTCAAGTTCTTTCAATTGTTCACTCCTTGTTATCGACCGATTTCGACGCTGAAGCATCTCTCCATCAATAATATTCAAAAGTATCGAATTGAACAAACATTTTCTCGCTGTAGCCAGACCAGAAACATCTTATTTCAAATTCCTTGATACAGTTAAGAAAATTTCACTAGTTGCCTGAAAACAGACGAGTTTAAACGATTTGTATGCAAACGAACCGAAGGATTTGAAGGCAGACAGTACGGTAGAGGATTTAGAATGGAATTTCGAAGACGTTTCAAGACATCCCATGAAGTGTATGCGATGCAAAATATGACGAAGGTGATGCAAAAAATTCCACTCATTGAGGTCAATTTAGCGTACGGATCTTCCGGCTCATTTTGCCTTAACAAGCGTATCGCCTCTTGCAGCACTACGATTGCTTTTTGATGATCGTCATTCCTGAAACGATTCCGAATTAGAACATTCCGATGACGGTTCACATTCACTGTGAAAGTTTGCTGCCATCAAATCAGATTTCGTTTCTGGATTACGAGAAAAACACTCACTGCATTGGCTGTTTCTCACTTCCGTCTGTAGCATTCACCAGTCGATTGGGTGTAACGCATCCCAAAAGCCATTGTATTGTGGGTCCGAGTTGCCAACGTAACCGTCTTGTGGCCATCGCCCTACTGAATCTACTCGACGATTTGACGACGACCGGACCAAGCACAAAACCGAGCAAGTCGGACGTCA